TTTAAAACTAAATAGAACTTTCTAGCGTTCGAAGTTTTCAAGTAGTACTACGTTTTCTCTAAAAATCGACCGTTTTTACAAAATCTCGTATTTCTCGAAAACTAAGGGTGATGGAGCATTTTCACTTTCAGATTCGTATTTAGGACGAGGAACCTTATAAGAATCACCTAGTGGATATCGCGGGAAAAAATCGTGTTGGACAGTGTAATCATTCTTTTAGAAAACACAAATGGTTATTTTAATTTTATAGGAATGAGTTATATCATTACAATTATACCCACCAAGTGTCCACTATAAGTTTCAGTCCTTGACTGAACTTTACAGTCCTCCCAAACATTTTCATTTGTGTTTATCCTAACACAAATGACCATTCTTCATTTTAAAGGTAAACACTAAAACGTTTAGAGTTCGGTAGGACTGGAGCGTCGGATATTTAATTAGTGAGTAATTTATATCAACTCCCTTTCTCTTGGCGGTACACGTGAGTTGTGACGGAAAACACGTGAATGGTCTACTGGAACCAGTGACGGGTCTCACAAGTCCATGACCTCCTTTTAGAGTACGGACGTTTTATTAATCGCGTGAAATATTAAACAATTGAATCTACATTTATCGTTCAAATTACACGCGAACTTGCAAATAATTAACCCTTAATGCTACAATTTTATTTCACCTTTCACAAAAGAAATGAAAAGTGATCTTAACATCTATTGGAAGAGGTCTTCCAAAAGAGGCTTTAGAATTTTTTTTAATAACAGTACCCATCATCTTTCACGTTTAATATTAATCATTAGACTGGGGATCTTTATGCATTTATAATATGTCAAACAATGCAAAAGATATACAAAATATATGCAAAATGTATGCAAGGTATATGCTAAATATAAGTATAGGGAATGTATGTATGGATCTATAAAATAATTATATAATAACTACTTATTATTACTACATAATTATTTAATAACAATTTTTTATTGTTTTATCTATTATAATTTAAGTTACAATATCCAACAATAGTTTTTTCAATATTTTTGATTGTAAATTGATGCCTCTTATCTGTTAAAATCAATTTATACGCCGAAAAAGGGCGTTCTACATCACATGATGTTATATGAGCATATTTAAATTTATTCCAATGATGTGCCAGAACCTCTCGTTGTTCTTCAACGTGTTTACCCTTTAAAATCTTGCTTATTTTGAGTAATATATTAGAGTGTACTTTCCGTTTTAATACTAATTCCATTTTATCTATAACTTTTTCTCCATAATCACCGGGTATAATTTTTAAATTTTCTGTAACTGTAGTTACCAAATCTATAGATTCTGTTTGAGGTAATCCTATTGTTTCCAATTTCGTAATAGCTACTGATTAAGTTGGAAAATGGAGATTAACTGCAGCGTGACTCTGTCTGTTTACACATCATAGTATCATCGACTTTGTATTGTCTCTTACTGTATGTCAATACAGTATTTACCAAATCGAAATTAGAACACGTTGTCGATCGTAGCTGATCAATCTTTTAGGCACATCTATCTTATTTATTCTGGTGGACCATTAAATAATCGGATATGCATTTATGAAAAAAATATGCACAATATGCTATATGCAAAATATGCAAAATAAAAAATATATTTTTGGAATCATCTAATCATGACATTTTCTGTCCAGGTTCCATTCGTCTACTTATTTTCTATAAAAATATGCATTTCCATAAAGATTTCCATAAAGATCCGTAGTCTATTAATCATGTATGTTTTATTATAAAATAAAAGCCTAAAGCCCCTTTTCGGAATCTTTTACTTTTCAGAAAAGAACAGATTGACGTGACAATGAATTATTGTTCCTTATTCTTTAAGAGGGGAGTTTGATCTAGCAGGTCTCAAAAATCGACTTTTTATCGCTAACAAATAATCACGTGGAAAATGTTTTCACAAAATTATAGCATCAAATTCAACCTTGAAATATACATACTTAGAAGCGGTACGTACCAAGTAGACAAAACTGGAGACGGACTAGCCCAATCAGTGGCGAAGCAGGCAGCGCTCTTGTATTGTATTTGTTAGAGATTCAAATGGAATTCTTAACACACTGGGTTTACGATGCGAACGTGACTTTACATTATTTTTGAGGATACCGAGTTTTTAACCACTTAGTGTAGTAAACGTAGTCTTTCGTAATAAAATAATTTTTGGAAAAAAAAATATATCCGACTTCGAAAAACATTAAAACTGAGCTAAAAAGTATGAAATAATTCCTAGTTAAACTGCATTATACTCACCAGCTTTTGATGAACTTGGTTAAATTATTAAATACAGCATATTAAATACAATGCAACCTTCTCGGAGACGGCGCAAAATTTAAAATTACCTACATTCAAAACTACCAAACTTGGTTTAACTGTCTGTCGAAGGAACAAAAAATATCATGTTTAATTATTGCTATCATTATATCTGCGTTAGACAGCACATACATTAACACTATTCAATATCACCACTCCCACCAAATACTAGACTAAATCTACTCAGACAGTACTTCCATATAGATAGTATACACATTAATTGTATATAATACTCCCACCCCCCCCTCCCCGTCGACAAAAATACATCAAACCATCTCAAGTTACATCAAAGAATAGGAATTTTGCAATAACAATTGTTAGAAATATTAACACTTTATTTACCGGGAGCCTATTTATAGGTTTTTTAATTTCAGTATTTAGCTTTTCGAATTTATTTACTGTGTTGATGGTTGTCTACTTACAATGTTCAGTTTTTGGAAATAGACTTGGCTTTCAATGTACCTAGTAACAGTATGGAGGAATTATTGCCAGCCTAGATTGGTATATGCTACTGTAGAAGATTTTTTTTTGAATTTAAGGCTGTTTCTAAATAGCCCGGTAGGTAAAGTGTTAAGAAACTTATACATTTTTCCAAATGGAAACATCATGAAATCAGCTTTCATTAAATGTGAAGGTTTCCATCTCGATCGGTTAATTCCTTGCCGAGTTACATCAAAGAATAAGAATTTTGCAATAACGACATTATAAACAATAATAAAATTCATAAATTTTTGCAAATGTGATCATCATGAAAACCTGCCGGGCAGGAAAATGTAAGGGGTTTCATCGATTCCATCGATTTTAGGCCGAACATACGTAAAATAATAGTTTAAAATAGTACTTTTTGCGATGCAAGTGGTAAAAAATAAACCGATGTCAAATTTTTTTTGTTACGAGACCAAGTGGCAGTGATGCTCTATCAGATGTAAAAAGTTTCAATCCGATTGATCCATTCGTCTCGGAGTAATAAGCAATACAACATTTTTCGGTTTTTTGCAAAAAAAATCGGATATAAAACGACAAATCGCAAAATGTCTTGATAATAGGAGCAACTGGGAAACATCCTCTATAAGATCCAAAAGGTTTCATCCCGATTGGTCAAGCCATCGATATAATCAGAGAACAGACATAAAAAAAAAAATATACATGTCCAATTGAGTAACTTCTTTTTCGAAGTCGATTAAAAAGACATTTAAGTTCTTGCTTGACATCAATCGAAACTGTCTCATATGTATACAATGTGTAATGTATATAATATATACACATATATTCAATTAAAATTTTTGATGTCAAATTTTCTTCTTTGAACGTACCTTTATATGTAAAGTTTCAGGAAGAAAAATACATTAGATCTTAAAATGATATACATTGGAAAAAACCGTTGTTGGACCAGACTCCCCCCTTAAAGTATAATAGGAACAAATTATTTGCACGTTTACGTTCGACGGGGGGTAATTTCGCTGGAGAATGCAGGGGATCAATATTCCAACAATAATTTACGAATTTCTCTCCCCTCACGCTAGAATCCACGTGACCATTAAATGTAAGCACGTGAATAGCCTAGTGAGCTTCGGGAACGTTTGCGGAGTTCGTGACCAGTTTCTGTACACGGCAATTCTTTTACCCAGCGTCTCTCAAACTTGGGACCAAAGGACTTTAGGCTTGGTATGCTCATCTTCCTAAAATGCACCACTTCATACATATTGTATTCAGACACCTATTATTGCTTTCTTTAAGCGTTAAGGTCATCGTAAACATACTTGAAACATTGCCTTACCATGTCACACTGGCTCATACTTTTAGTACATACACCACATTTTGATTTCCCTTTCTATGTTATCAAACTATGGTACGTATATTACGATGTATACAAAATGTGTGAGCCAGTCTTACGATGTATGTGATGTATGTTTATAGTAGTGTGAACACTTGAATAAAGTGATAAGAAGCTCTTCTATGAAAAAGGTAAGTGCCTGAGCACACTTCCTATGAAATGGTGCAATGTGAGAAGATAAATAAGCATACCTAAGACTGTAGTCTATGAAAAAAGGACTTTTAATGCATACTAGTGACAGTTTCACACGTTATCATACATTAGAAAAATAGAAGATAAAAAGCATGGATATCTTGACATAAATATGTCCTTTCAAATATTGCAATATATTAGATAGTCTCCAAATTACACTATTTAATATAATTCAATTCCTATTTACCCATTTGGCAATAAGTTCGAAAGCTTGAAAGATAAATTGAAAAACATGAGTAGACAACCAACAACACAGTTAATTGGTTCCTATATACATAAAGTAGTTAACAGTAGCATTAATTCTTATCTTTCAATTTCTACATACTATACAACAAAAGCTTTATCTGTTTCCTTAAATTGAAAAACGTGAGTAGACAACCAACAACACAGTTAATTGGTTCCTATATACATAAAGTAGTTAACAGTAGCATTAATTCTTAAGGAAACAGATAAAGCTTTTGTTGTATAGTATGTAGAAATTAATGTTTGCTTAAATTAATATAATGTATGTATACTAATATAGAAAATCCTTTTTTGAGTTATAAATTGTTCCTAGATAAATTAAAGTGAAAAGTAAATAAAGTGTTAATGGTCCACCAAAAATTTGAAGGTCAGCAAACACAGAGTTTGAGAACACTGTTTCCACCAGACTCGCGTACCTCACGGTACACACTTCCCTTTAAAAGTACGCTGCACGCCATACCCAGCACGTGCACGTCCTAGTCGTCGGGTATCCGCAGTTGGGTTCCCGTGTACCCAATAACTGTTGGTTGCACAATTATTGCGTGCCTTTCCAATCGTCCTTTCGCTTTTTCTCTACACCTCCTTCGCGAAGGCCGTAGCGGCTTTCCGCGGTTTTAGCTGGACCCAGTACCCTCAGTGTACTTTTCACCTGAAGCGAACAGTCGCGCAAAGCCCGTCGAGGCTATCTGAACAGTACTCGTTCTCGACGCTCTAAAGGTTCAGTTAAGGTTCGCGCTGTTAACCCTTAGCTACGTTGGCTGAACATTGTAACATGGTTGTTCCATTGGGTTCTACTTAACTCCTAACTATGGTAAATAATTACTTGTGTGCGTTCTTCTTTTTTGTATAAAAAAAAAAAGATTCCAAAGTTTTGGTCCACTAATTTGAAATCATCTTCAGAGTTATAGAAAGTAAATCTACAAACAAAAAATATACTTATTGAAACGTAAGGAAATAAATAAAGATGAGATGTTTATGAGTAAAGGGTGTTCAGCTGCTCAAGCGACCAAGGTCACCATATTCAACTAATTAAAATTATTCTACATGACACAATCAAACGAAATTGAAGAATTGCGTTTGAGGCCCTGTGTCCAAGTTATTAATTTTTGAGAAAACGCGTAAGAGGCGCACAAGGGAATGATTTATACTACTTTCCTCGTCGTGCGTCAGCTGATGTCAAGTGACGTCAGTGCATCGGGCAGTAGTATAAGTCAGTTACGTCAGACAAGAAGAAGCCCCGGAACGTAATTTCTTAATTATTGATTTACGTCTTGTTATGACATGTTGATCACCTCTTTAAGTTTCTTATACCTGTCGCTGAACACTCTGTGTATTGATTTGTAACTACTAAGCAAAACGTTATAATAAACACTGTATATTGCTAGATAAATATTACTAGTAAATATTTTATATCTGATAATGTATAGAGAATATTGATGTTTCATTTGCATTGCTAAGCAGTGTTATCTTTCGAATTGATGTAAATTAACTAACACTTCTTTCGCGGTCTATGAGCTACATATATTTAGCACATTACGAATCTTATCGGTGGTTGCTGGTTTCACTTTTATTTTATATAATTATAGCCAGTGCCGATGATTAATATTGTTGTATCTTTGGTGTTAGATGCTGGCACTAATGGGTAACACAAAGCCTGCATTCTTGGAGATCGACAATGATAAGTTTAAGACCATCATGAAGATATCAAACGATGACTCTATCGAGCAGAAAAAGAATCATTCCGATGAGGATGAGGATTCGAAAACATTGCAACTCCTTCGAATTAAAGGATTTCCACGGTTATTACCCGAAGGTACGAAATTCATTGCTAATTCCTCGCGTAATGTGATTCTGTTTTCATTTTCCGCTTCCAAATCTTCATCTGCAAGTGTTTGATTATTAAATTAACAAGATATTAAATACGAATAATCATAGAGTAGTAATACAAATATTTAAAAACCATTGCCAATAATCCTACAAAAAGACCAATGTGTCCAACATAAAATGTCTAGCATTCTTTTCTTGTCAACTATTGCTTTCTTTTTTTTACAATTTAAATAAAATATCTTCATTCATATATTTGTTGTTCAAAGACTTTGATTTAGCACTTATTACTACACAATTGCAGACAGTTTATTTTTTAAAGCAATTTCTTCCTTTAACTTCTGTCTCCATAAATTTAGTAATATTATCCCATTTACTCCAATAAGCAACCTAACAAAGACAGTTTCTGCAAAGTTTTCTCAGAACATCCTTACATAGGATTTGCGTTTAGGAATATGAAAATTCGGTGACTTACTGTTTAGCTAAAACATTAATTGATTAACAATTAAAATTACATAAGTAATCAAGGATCAAAATTCATGCATTAAAGGGTGTGAAACTGATGGATGTTGAAATCTTTACCAAAAACATTAAGTATTCGTTCTGTTTTAAAGATGAAGAATTACCCTATTTGTAATCGTGTTTCAGGGATTCAGGCATTGGTTAATTACTGTAGATACCTACGGGAGTTATCCTTGTCCTATTCTTTCCTCAGCGACGAATTACTATTAGCATTAAGTTCCGAGAAGGAGATGCAACTGGGAACCTTGCGATTGGAAGCGCATCCAGAGACGAAACCTTTCCCTCGAATCAGCGATACAGCTTGGTTTACATTCTCGAATCACTTGCCGAACATAAATTTAGTGCTGTGAGTACACTTTATTTAATACACGCGCCACGCTTTTTCATATATCCCACATATTTAATTCTCAATTATAATAGGATTCGTTAAAAGAAAATGAAAATGCACTTGTCACAACAATTAGGAAATCATACTTCTTAAAAATTGCAATTCATGTACGATATTACCGCGTACATATATCAGATATAACATAGATATACATTTTTATTTATAACGTGACTTTGCAGTTAGATATCTTCCAATTTCCTATTCAACGATAGATACATGTGAGCACGCGATCTTCTAATTATTTTAAACGTTACTGAAATGGGAAAAAATTCATTTGAATAATAGATGATTAATACAACTAAACGTATAATGATTTATGCATAATATTTACTTGAAGGTTACTCATTAGTTCTAACATATAGTACACACTATAATTCAGATTTTTATTTTCATTTACCCAGTAAGAAATAAAAAATTATTTATCTTTTATTCATTAATTAAGATATTTACCTAGACAAGAATTTTTCTCATCTCTGGTGTATATGGAAACTACACGCGAATTAACTATTTTAGTCAGACTTTGTTTTTACACTTAAAAATAAACGAATCCTATAATTTAATTCATGGAAGTAACATAGTAATTTGTTTGTGCAACAAATTAGATTGTCTTATATGACGAACGAAGTTGATCAGAGCCCACTTTTCGCCCCATACGTTCCTATAACACATTTGTACTTTGGAGAAGCACCGTCGGAAGCAACTATGTTACGCATCAGCTGTCTGTGTCCTCGATTGATCGAGCTAGTCGTTGCTGCTTATGGACCTGAGACACTCGACCGTGCACTCCTTTCTGTTGCTCAAGGTTGCCCACGCTTAAACGCCGTTGGATTAGGCGATTGCGAAATTACGTATGTATAACAATATAGTCAGTTCTTTCTTTTTTACAAAACAAATGCTAAACAGAGGATTGTATCAATGTCTAATCCAGAGAATCTATATGCTAACTACCAAATTATTCGATACGAAACTGACTTATTCAGATAATATTGAAAACTGTCTACATAGGAACTATGCTTAACTAATACTAATATACTATTGCAAACATTTTTCAGTATATTTTATAACTCGAGAGTTATATGAGTATAAAATAAATGAATGGATGTGGTATGACGGGTAGTTCCTCTTATCACACTTCTACACATACTCCTTTGACAGTATATAATTATAAACTTCATTCCTGAGATTGTCTTAGATTGATTCTAACAATCTTAGCTATCTAGGCACTCTGATGGTGGGTTGACGATCCTCTGATAGCAATGTATCACATTCAACGTTTAATTCATGAAATTCTAACAGTCTTTTGCTTGTATAATACCCAGATAGCACAGAATCCATTTCATGTCCAATTTACGTCCGAACCTCCAACGTCCTTAAGACGTCCATGGGACGTATGTAGTACGTCCCAGGGACGCCCGCACTGACTTTCTATATTTAGAAAAATATACTTTTTTTTAAACATAACATAAATACATAACATCAATATGTAGAATAACATTTATTCAATATGTAGAACAGAATATCTTGTCCGAATATAAAATACACTATTTACAATATTATTCTCCCAGATAGCACCGGACGTTCCATGGACGTACAGAGAACGTTCTGGGAATGTCCAGCACCCGACGTCCCATGGACGTACATAAGACGTCCCTGTGCTATCTGGGTATACAGTCATTATTTAATATTCGCAACAGAATATACGTTTGCATACGTAAAACAAAATGTTTATTCAATATTAGGAATACAATATCTTTTGTAGATATGAGATGTGATATGTACATAATATACGGAACTGTTCAGAACTACCTAGTAAATCGATTCTTCTAACTTCTCAAAAAAAAGTTCAAGTCATTTAGACCAATTTCAAAAGAAGGAATTGTGTTTTAAAAGGTGTCCGAATATTAATGTGAGTCACTATATAAGCCTAAAATATGAATCAGTTCATTAAAGGCGTTCATGGGTAAGTGAGGAAGCAAGTTGCGTTATAATCGGAAACTCATGAGTTCTCGAATCCCGCCGGAGGCGTAATTAAAAATTGAAAGACGTGTTCGTCGTTTTCATGGAATCCAGTCACAAGAAATAAATACAGTAAACTAAAATCTATCAACAAATGAAAGAAAATATAGAATTAAAATTTATTTTTTTTAAATCTCAATTTTCAAAATTTATTCAACATTGTCCAAATATTCAATACACACATTTTTTAAACATAAATTTCATAACGTTCATTTCGATCGTTCGGAAAACGTTCTGGGAATGTCCCGGGGACGTCTTACGATTCAACTGGGACGTTCCACGGACGTTCACAGGACGTTCAGGGAACGTTTGGACGTCCATAGGACGTACCGAACGTCCATCACCGGACGTCCTATGGACATACACAAGACCTCCCTTTGCTATCTGGGTACTGTTTAAATATTCCAGAATCTATCTGTAAAATATGCAAGTTAGGAAGAATCGTGATTAGTACTACTTGAAAAAAATGTAATTTTACTGAATGCTGATGATAATTTCTTTTTCTTGTTACGCTCAGTTGCTCAGGATTGTTGGAATTTGTCACAGTGTGTGCGAAACGCTTGCGAATATTGTACGTTTGGGAAACGTCACTAATAGATGACTCCGACCTCGACGTAGCGAAGGTGTCGAAAAAAGTTTCATCGCTTCTTGGTCGTACGTGGGTACCTGAATATATTCCACTGTGCTGAAAGTTTGACTTTAACCAAATCAATTTGTACGATGCGTAAGCCCCAATGGCCGACAATAGTTTGCGCACATACTAAAAATGTGCGTAAGTGATAATTAGACTTAACGGATAATACCTTTTCTATTTTCTACTATAAATTAATTATGTAAGTAATTATATAATTTTGAACTGTATAGCGTAGATATTGTATACGCGTTGTAGATTTCTCAGTATTCTTAGGACTAATATTTTTAAACACAGTCGGTGAATGAGAAATTTTTGAAGACATTGTATCAGGTGAAACTTTTCATATTCTTGATACGACCTATCGTTGGCAATAGATCAACAATTATTATTAAGAAATAAAAAAACACATACAAAAATGTAATTAAGTTTTGTTATAGTTTTTGTTGATTAGTATCTTTATGTCAATATACGCGTAACCCAGTAAGTACTTTGCGCATTGGACGCGATTCCACGAAAAAGAATAAAAAAAGCCACGTATTGTAAAAATTGCTCGTGTCTGTTAATACCAAAAAATATAAACTTTATTAGATTATAATGATACCTTTTGCTTGTGGTGTATATAAAATAAAATAATACCACTACTTATTTATCAATCGTCGCTCATGGTAGATATGTATAATATACAATAATGATATAGTCTATAATGTTATTGTAATACAACAGACTATGTACATTATTTCTACATTATAACACAATAAATGATTGGGTATACTTAGTATTACGGTATCTAATAATGTTAACAATAAATGTTCTTATTACTTAAACGTTTCTTTAAATGTACGCGATTACTTCGTTTTTTACATCTTGCCGATACTATTCTAAAGATGCGAAGCGCTCAGTCTTATATCCCAGCCGATATATCCAATTTCTTATTTCTTTAAGGCCAATTAAAAACCTAACGGTTGAACAATTTCCGCTCCTTTTACAACAAACAATGATAATGTATCCAAAAATCTGTATCACCTCTCTACAAATTTTACTGCTATAACACATAATGTAACGAACAAATGTTACACTCTTATGAACATGGTAATATTTCCTGTTGTTTGAAAAGAACAATAATTTAAACAAAAAAATTTTAATTATTTGGTATTTAACAACGACGTATACTTGTCATGTCATTAATTAGGAAATGCACTAATTATTCATTGGCATCTTTAAGCAACTGTAAATGTACAAAAGAATATAAGTTAACACTTAAAAAGTAACAGAGCCCTTTGGACACATTTGACGCACTCATAAAAATGACTATCTCTCTATTAATATCAATATAATTATTTTAATGAGAAATATTGCAAAAATTTTAGGAACACGTAGAAAAATTATTTTAATGTAAATATATGGCTTTTGTTCTTAATTATCTGTGTTATCGATATGCATGTTACAAACACAGATATAATTTTTTCTATTAAATTAAAAGTTAGTTAAAAAGGGCTTAGAAGCACATAAAGCATTTCGACGAACGTAAAAATATAATGTAATCTGAAATTTTATTATCGTCCCTCTGTTAACAATCTCTTCCCTTACTCATTGCAGTGATTCCTTTAGTCTACTAAATGAGCAATACAGTTAAGTCTTGATCGATAATGGTGTTTGTATTTATAAATAATATAAGAGATAAAGAAAATTTCAACCGAATACAAATACAAAATGTAACTGTTTATTCAGTATGAACGTATCTTATAATCTTTATCTTTTATACGTATATACAAATTCTGTGCACAGATAATTTAGAATCTATAAAGATTTGTGTCAATTAATGATTAAATCATCGTCCATTAATCGAGAGTTAACTGTATATATTATATATCTTTCAAGTGTGATCTGTACAATGCATCTTGATGCTAAACCGTGGAGTACTATTTACATTAAAGATTTTCCTTAACAAGCTTCAACCAAATTCATATGCGTTGCAGGAAACTCAATTTAAAATATAAATAAACATAAATCAAGCTTAGCTTTATACAGATCACACTATACCAAGGTATAAATCAAAGTTTAAACATAGTTCACAGCTGCATACAAAACATGTCTAAAGTATCATTGACTTTTAGCACCAGCTTAGGCATGTTTACCATTCTCTATAATCACTACTTTTGGCAAAGTAATATTAATGCTACCATTATGCAGGTTTACTATTAACAGACATAATAAAATAGGTCAGCGATTACCTTATATATCGTTAAAAAGGAGCAATCAAACAAACGGACGGGTCGGTTACTTATTCTACGCATAACTTAAGTGTTTGAATACACGAAAAATTGATGCAGCTTCAAGAAATGTAACATTCTTTTGAGCATTGCGACTGCTAAATTTGCTCGAGGGGCTATTCATTTAGATGCCTTCAAAGTTTTAGCGTCTTATACCTCTTTTTAATTAAATGATTTTTAAAAAGTTTTACAATTTTCCGTATTAATATCTTTACAGAAATTGTGAAAATCTTAAGCCCCAGGAACAAAATAGATAATATAATGATTATGATTGCCTTGGCGCACAATATAAGTTTAACAATAACAAGATTTTCATTACGACATTTCGTATTGAAAATAATAGTTTTTTTTTATAATAGATTTCACTATTATATACGTACCTGTCTGTTACATATTAAGATATGGCTCTTCGTATTAACCAGTCATATCAATAAAAGATTCCAAGTACCTGAATTGATCCTGTAACAGAAACTTATTTTGTATATGTTTTACAAGTTTTAATTATAACTACTTATACATACCTAAATGAAACAATCAATCAGGCATATCAATAGAAATTATAGGTACAACAGGTTTTGTTAGGTCAATTTTTTTAATGTGTTTTTCACTTTTTTCTGAGACCATTGGTTCAGATGGTGGTTGGTCGTGATCACTTCTAGGTTGGTATGAAATATTACCATATTCTTGAAGAAGTGGACATAATCCTAATAGGAAGTGACAAAAGTCCTTCCTAATACCAAACCACCCTGAAATGAATAACAGTATCAGGTTAACAATGCTTAATATGTGGTACTAGTACCAAATATTATTTTTATATAATAATAAATGATTATTACTTACATCTATTTCCACCCTTTGCATCAAAAGACATAAAAATAAGTGTTATATGAGATATTAAAAGCGGCATTGCTACCGTTGTATAATTTAGAGAAATATCTCCATCTAATTTATTGGCTAGTAACACCTAAAATCGGTAAAAATCCATTATTAGTGAAATTCATTAATTATCCTTGTATCTAATACAAGTTACAATCCTTACTTGGAAAACTATAATTGGAACCACAAGAAATGTGTATGCCAATGCCGAAGTTAAAGATGTTCTCCTTTGTCTGGCATTGATCTGTGGAGTTCTTAATAAAACAACAGCAAATATTATGGCATATAGTACAGCAACTAGAGATAAGCACAAAAGTGCCCAAAGAGGCACAAATACTACTTCCCAACTCCACGTTATAAAACCATCTAATCTTAATGCCAAGAAAATGAATTGCAATACATTAACTGCACAAAATAATTCAAGTTCAAATGACCGATCATGTTTCGCTGCCCAAATACATACCTAGAAATAAAAAAAACATTTATATTTTTCAAGAATTAATTGATATTCCTTTAAAATACATTTGAAATGTACTTACTGCTATCGACACTATAGAGATGAAGATAAGCGGTATGAATACAAGGATCCATAAATGTCTTTCAGATTCTAATTTATCGCATACTAACAATTCAAACATTAACAGGATCAAATGCAATGCCAAGGTGATTAACATTGCCTTATAATGTACATAGGCATCTCCTTCGAGTCTTGCATGCGGATGCCTCCACCAGACATAACTTCCAATAGTAGCACCCAAAATTACCATACTCTTCCAAAACCATATTGGAGTGAACACAGACCAATAACTCCATTCTATGAAGCCATCCAGTCGAAGAGCAAATAAGGATGTAAATATCATCAAACAGGAGTGCACGAGAAATTTGCTAAAAAATAAATTAGGTAACATTAACATGTAACTCTTAGATAAATTAGTATGAAATTTATTATTTTATATATAGTTTGATTTGTATTAAATTTTTTAATTGATTACCATTCAAAATACAGAATATTAATTATTTAATGAAAAGCAAGAACTGGAAAATTACAATGAAAAAAAGGACAAAGAACATGAAAGACTTACTTGAAGCTATTGTTTGAAAGGTTGTTAATTAAATAATGCAATCTTGAAAAAAAGATTATTTCACTGATTGTAGTTTATACTAAATGTTTGTTCAAACTAATTAAACTCTTTTGATAATTTACGAAGGTCAATAACCTCTCAACAATGACAAAATGTGCCGAACAAAGTGGCGAGCATTTGTTTAAAATAAGCATTCAACCTATTTAGAAGGTGCGACTCAAGCGAAAATTACACTATTGAAAGGGATTTTGATTCAATTATCGAAAGATTTCTGCGTTAATCAAATCAGGTTGCCGACATAAGGGAAATTGAACAATAGATAATCAAAAATCTCCGTATATACAAAATAACGCTCGTTGTTTATCGTTCCATTTTATTTTATACACTGCTCTAAATATAAGATTTCAATATTCTGTGGTAATTCATTGTTGACTTGTGACATAAATGGAAATCCGCTCGCAAGGTTTTTACCTTGGATTGAAGTCTTGGAAGAGTGTTTGCAAATTCATGATTATCAGAAACGTTTTGTAGGCCAACTACTCGACGTGAATCTTCGCGATGTTCGCCGCGTGTACACGCATCCCACTAAGAATCGTTTCATTGACCGCACAATTTTTCGCGGAAGCACACACTCGGTGGGCTCTGCATTTGCGTTTAATGGACAAAATAAATCCCACCGTCCTGCACGCGAAAATTCGAATTGCACTGAAATTAGCCGAAGGCCAGCAGCTGTCGACAGGTCGACACTCGATACGGCGATGTAACAAAGGCAGAAAACTTCGTGCTCGTTCAGATGTATTTACAAATTATAATTTATAAAATGGTCAACAATAGTCAATGATGCATGCTTTACACACTTGTTCCCTAAAAATAATAAATTCACCACAATCGCTTAATTCCAATGTCTCTTAAATTTCACCTTTATGTAGCTAGCAATTTTTGAGGTCTTTTGAAGAATTGTTCAAATTTAATGTCCTTATGAATTATAATTCATAAAATGGTCAATGACGCATGCTTTACAAACTTGTTCCCTAAATATAATAAATTCACTACAATCCCTTAGCTCGTGTCTCTCAAATTTCATCTTCATGTAGCTAGCAATTTTGCTGTCTTTTACAAGTTTAATCTACTTTATTTGTATGTAAAGTAAAACACCTGTTGCTGTATATTACAATTGATAATAAATCATATTTAATAATAATGTAAAATGAACATATAATTTACAATAGCATCTTACTACATTATACATTGAACATATGAATAGAATAAGAACGTAGAAGTTCAAATATATTTTTAATTAATAATTTTTAAATAACGTGTACCATATTTACAAATATTAGGCACTTTCTAAAACGTGATTGTTTAAAATGTAGATATTCAAGTCTATCGACCAATGACCATTCACGTACGTATTGATAAGTAAGTAGTAAGGCGCCTGTCAGTTTCCGGTTGAGAGCGAACGGAAGTGAACGAACCGTGTCTCTTTTTGCCCGTAACTTTAATCATGGCGGTGGGTAAAAATAAGGGTCTTTCAAAAGGAGGTAAAAAGGGAGTGAAGAAGAAGATGTAAGTGAATTATAATATTTTTCGATTGTACTTTATACATCTATTATATTAAAAATGTGATTCGTGGTCTCCTATTTGGAAAGATGCGTCGTATTAAAACAGATTCTAGTAACCTGACATTCGAAAGTTTGCAAATGATCCACGTTTAATAGCTTGCTTTCTGTATTAGTATATTACATGAATAAGAAGTTAGTTAGGAAAACTATATATTCATTTATTTTAAATGTAACGATATACATTAAACAATATTTACAGTATTAGTCAACAATGTTTATGTATATTAATGGTATCTGAATTAGGTTTTATATATTAAGTACTGGATACCTAAGAAATGCTATATGTTTTATGCTTTAAATTCAAGTTAGTTTTGCTCCATGCGTTCGAGGAAATAAAGTAACGTGTAAACCTAACCTTAAATTATAATTCTTGTATCAAAGGTTTTACGTAATTACTTTTTTGTTGCAGTGTTGATCCTTTCACTCGTAAGGATTGGTATGATGTTAAGGCTCCATCTATGTTTACCAATCGTCTGATTGGTAAAACATTGGTTAACAGAACCCAAGGAACAAGTAAGTTATCTTCACAATTACTTGAGAAAGCTTTGCAACCCCAGCTCCATAAAAGTGATACCGATACTTTATTTGGTGTTTTATGTTGCATAGAGAAAAGCAGACTTTTTACCATGGTATTTCTTTCTTTGTCGAAATACTAAAATTAGTTCATGCTACAAATTTTTCTTATTTGCCTATATATTTAGTTGCAATGTGATTTAAATTAATTTATTTGTATTCTAACGTATACCTTTTTTATCTCACAGAGATCGCCTCTGAAGGACTGAAATACAGAGTATTTGAAGTCTCTTTGGCTGATTTACAGAATGATGGCGATGCTGAGAGATCCTTCCGTAAATTTAGGTTAATCGCAGAAGATGTTCAGAATCGTGGTGTTTTGACCAACTTCCACGGCATGGATTTGACTACAGACAAATTGAGATCCATGGTTAAAAAGTGGCAGACCCTAATCGAAGCTAATGTCGATGTGAAAACTACAGATGGTTATCTTCTTAGAGTTTTCTGCATTGGTTTTACAAATAAAGATCAACTGAGTACTAGAAAAACATGTTATGCCCAACATGCACAGGTTGGTAGTTTGACTGGTGTATAATTTTTATTTCTAATGCATGCAACTCAAAATCCATGAAAGTAGTATTAATACTTTTGTGATACATGGTGTTGCATAGAGAAATATGCACATGCTTACCACATTGCTTTTGTCATAAGAAGTAGTGATATATGGTGCGGCGACATTTATAATCGTTATGTATTAGATACAGATTAATTAACGCGTATCACGTATGAATACATTTTTGTCTAGGTTAAAAAAATCAGGCAGAAAATGGTAGACACGATTACAAATGATGTTACGAAAAGTGACCTGAAAGGTGTTGTCAGCAAGCTTTTGCCTGATGCTACGGCTAAAGACATTGAAAAAGCTTCGCAAGGAATTTACCCACTTCACGATGTTTATATCCGTAAAGTATGTATGGAGAAATAATTGATTTCCATTTAATATTAATAACAACAATGTTACTCATAATGATTCTGATGTTTTATAGGTCAAAGTATTGAAGAAACCACGTTTTGAATTGAGCAAACTATTGGAATTGCACGGCGACGGTCCCGGGAGCAAGAGCGAAGACGCAGGAGAAAGTGGCTCGAAGGTTGACAGACCAGAAGGCTACGAACCACCTGTACAGGAATCTGTTTAAGGGGTTAATTCTCTTTGAATATTTGATATGAATAAAAATCACATGTCAGTGCGAAAATTGCTTTCAGTTTTATTTTCTTTTTCTATCCGTTTATTTACTCTAGTTTGAAAGGTCTAGAACAAACTTATAAAGGAGATTCGCGAGATCGTGATGGAGGAATGTTACCCCGGGTCCTCACTACGGCGAACACTGTTCACGTACATTGTTCGTGAACTTGTCAGCTAACCCTGTTATTCACCGCTTTTCGCCGTAGTGTGGACGAGAAATAGCAGAGTTCGCTAACAAATGACTCTCCTAATTGGCGTAAAATCTTAAAAGTAGCCCTGCTGGGTTAGGCGAGAACTGTGTTCGGCGAATAACATCGCCTTTTTCCTCGTTCTTGTCTCTTTCCAAACCTTTGGAGCTTGGGCATTGCTATTCTTTCCAGTTTATGGGGCTGGTCTTTATGACCACCCGCAGGTAAGTACATACTCCAAAGGGATTATATGCGTGACCGAAGTCAACATTATTTTCTTATTATTCATTCAAGTTTGTATATTCTTTTTATTGTATCTTGATGAAGATATATGCGATATATTGGCGAGATTTTCCTGATAAAAATGACACCAAACACGACACAATTCAGACAGCTTTTACGATATGCAATATTTTTATAATATTAACACTTGTTTATGCGAGCCAGTGTAACCAATTAGAAAATCTGTTCGGAAATAGGAAACAGATTGTAAAATTCTTGTCAGGAGATAATAAGCGAACTGTCGTTAAATTTAAAATGCAAGATATATTATTTTAAGCTACTTTGGGAGCATTTAGACGAAGTTCGGAAGATACATCTGTGTGCTTTGAATATGGAGGAGCTCCAGTTTTAGGCAACAAAATAATTTTGAAGTGTATTTTCTTTTTATTATTTTTATCATTATTATTATGCGCATAACATTACGAATATATATATGAATGGATGAAAAGGTGGATGGACGGATGTATCAGTAAATATGTGTATATATCAATGTATATAAATAAAATCTGTCACTGAGTAGCTTAAACAAGTGTTAACATTATAAAAAAATATCTATTACTTATCATAAGCGAAACTCCAAATTGTCTGAATTGCATCGTGTTTGATATCATTTTTATCAGGAAAATCTCGCCAATATATTGCATACATTTTCAACAAGATACAACAAAAAAAACATAAAAAAATAAAGGAGTCAAAAGTGTCAGAACAGAATTCCGAATTGACTTCAGCGACAGTCGCGGAAAAAGTAGGAAACTCCGGGACAAGGATAAAGAGGGTGATACAACAATTGCAGGAGAGACGAGGACAGGGCGATTAGGCTAGCATGATTTTTTTCAATGATATTAAAGCAAAGAAGCAATATTTTCTAATAATTCTGGTTTTAATATATTCGTACGGTAGCTTGGCCCAGTGATGGACATTCGTGGGATTTTTCTTGATCATGCGCATTGGAGCGAACGTTGCAGTCCTCACTGCTGTATACACTTACTTAAAATTTAAGGTACCATTGGATTCCAGTAAGGAACAAAATATAATGTCCTCTTCTTTTCCTCGATGATTCCTGACGTGGACGCGTGCGGTTCATTATACATTTTTTTTTAATTTTCCCTAATATTACACTCACGAACACTAACACTCTTGTACTTAATTTGTCCGTTAAAAACGCGGGAAAATTGCACAGGCCCTTTAAATGCACCTCCTCTGGCGGTTTGGATACATGTATGGTAGCAGACGACATGTAGCTGTGACGTCGCTTATGCATGCGCAGAAAGGAATTTCTCGAAGGAAAAATCCCACAAATATAAAAAATATATTTATTTTAATTTGTATTGATTATAAGGATAAAGTATACTTTTTACAGACAAGAAGAACTAATTAAGTATTGTAAAGAAAAAGGGATACATGTACAAGCATATTCTTCTTTGGGAACTAGTAGCAAAACTAATCTTTTAAAAGACCCAACTGTAACAATAGCTTCTCGACTTAATGTATCACCAGCTAGATTACTTTTGAAGTGGGCTTTGCAACAAAACATTGATATTATTCCCAAAGCAGTAAAAAGAGAACATATAAGAGATAATATACAACTGAATTTTACCATTGATAAAGAAGACATGAAAGTTCTATCTTCTTTACCTCAACATAAATATTGTTGGGATCCATCAAATGTATATTAAACAAGTTTTAAAATAAATCTTCAAATAATTGTATATAATTACCTTAAAGATAACAATTTCATATCAATTATAATAGCATGGAAGATTTTGCAGATGAGATTGCAAAGCTTTGTATAGATAAATATGTATATAAAACTTGGTAAATCTGGTAAACCAACAGAGACAGAATGGGCTGTATTGTCGGGTATACAAGGTGTCTCGAAAATGTTGTAACACCTTGAAATGGGTGCTTTGAGAGGTGATTTGAAACAACTTTTTCCTTAGCGAAAATGTTGTCCGAGGCTTCGTTAAGGAGATATTAACAGAAAACACTGGCCAATCAGAGCGCGCGTATACCGTTGGAGCGGCCGCGGTAGCAAATGCTACATGCTAAGCTGCTGCGTCAATGTCCTTCGATGCACGTCGAGTCATTTGTTCACGTACGTGCGTGGTCGCTTAGCAGCGTAGCCTTCGCTACCACGGCCGCTCCAACGGTATCCGTGCGCCCTGATTGGTCAGTTTTTTCCGTTGATATCTCCTCAACGATGACTCTGACAACATTTTCGCTAAGGAAAAAGTTGTTTCAAAGCCCCTCCCGAACCAACCATTTCATGGGTGTGAACCACCCATTTCAACAACATTTTTGAGACACCCTGTAGTATTAAGGCTGCGCAGGAGCTAAACTAGCGCCACCAACGAAAAGCAACGGAGAATAGGCGAACCAAAGAATATTAGATAATACTCTAATACTCAAAGAGTATTAGATAATACTCCAATACTCTTTGAGGTGAACTACGAAACAGTTTTTCGCGTTTTTTATGCACAATAATGAAAACAAACACATAATGATTATGCATTTCGTAATCAGGGGAAGTAAATCTATCGACCTATCAAGCGTTTGTTTCGAAAATTTACAAAAAAAAATTTGTTCTTTAAAAACATATTTTTATCATATTTTAAAGATGAAATTGCAAAATCGGGCATTGGAGTGGCATGCGGGTGATGTAAAAAATATTTTAGAAAAAAATCGTGAGAAAATATTGCTTCTTCTCATCAAAAAACTTGATGAGCTTCGTTGCTGTGAAATCTTGATGATTTGAATGGCAATATGGTTGCTCCGCTATCACGCTGTCCACTGCAGCGCTGCTGTCGTTTCTGCTGCGGTTGTTGCGCTAGTAGTCTAAGACGCTTTTCATCATGGTTCAGTATCGTAGTAAGTTTAAAAAATGCCCGCGGTCATACATTTTTCTTTTAAGTAGGTGTGTATATATAGAAATTGGTAAAAAACATTATGTACGTGTAAACTAACTTGAATTGATTACAATAGATTGAAAAAATTGTCTTTTGCGATGATGAAAAAAGTAGGTATAGCTAGTATGAACGTAATAAGATAGACAAAAGCATACGCATAATGAAATATAAGTGTTATTGAAAGAGAGTAAATGGTAAAAGTGCAGTAGTAAAAAATATATATATACATGTCGAATAGAGTAACCTCCTCGAACTACTGGAATTGCCTAATTCTATATTACATCTATAGATATAAATTTAATAATGGAAAATAAGCAATATATTTACAAAAATGTTATACTTGTATTTGATTTTTACATTAAAATTATTTTGGAATATGGGGAATTGTTAAAAGATAACACGCTAAAATACTGGCGGTCTCACCAGGGCGCGCCTGTACAGAAAATCAGCCCAAGTGGCCTGGTCATAAATTAAACTAAACTAAACTAAGCTAAAACTACGTTACAATGTACTTATGCCTATCCTATAGCTAACGCTCTCTCTCTCTCTCTCTTTCACACACACGCACACATTATCACTCCTACGGTATTGTAGTATGCGGCAAAAGGTATGTATAAGAACGTTGAGTATGTAAAACCAGCAAGGAGCGACTCTCTTTCGTTTCCGAAAAATAAATTTTTAAGAATATCTAAATTTCGATTGACGAGTGTCAATCGTATAAGTGTTGGAGATGTCATAGAAGCAGCGTTATAAACTACAAATTACAGCTAAAATTATCGACCAAAAACTGGAACTTCAACATGAGCTTTCAATAACTATCCATGAAATAAATATATAGGAATCTTAATAAAAAAAGATAATATTTGTAATAAAATTTCGATCAAAAAAGCCGCGGATCCTATACATATAAGTGATATAAGGAACTCGACGGTCGGCCACGTTACCGAAAAGGCTGAGCGATAAGGCGCCAGTCTTATAAACAAGAGACGAATGGGCGAGGACCTGAACGGACAAGGGATCACTCGCTATTCGGCACTCAACGAAAAGCGATCTACATTACCGGACAAGCAAACCGGAACGATTTTTCAAATGCTCATAACTATGAGAGTTTTCAACCGATTTCGGTGAAACTTCGCGAGGAATAGTCTTCAAGTGTCTTCTGGGCGTGTGCAAAGTAGCATTGGCGAAGGTAAAAGTGAAGGGGTTAATTCAACCCCCTAAAGGGGAGGGTGTAAAAAAACGCCTCTTTGAAACAGGCCAGGGATGACGGAAGGCGTTGAAAAGTTCAAAAAAATCTTTGGGGGGACTCTCCTTGATGCCCCCTACAAAATGCACCCCTTTGAAATCCCTCTCGGACAAACCCACCCCCCCACAAACCCCCAGCCCCTAAAATCCACAATTTTTGAACGACGGTCTCGATTTTGGACTCAATACATTCTCTGGACTCCCCTGATCCAGAAAATGCTATCACTCATACCGTGCACCCCCTAGGCACCCTTTGGGGGGGGGGGTGGGACAGCTCGCACATTTTCAACCCCCTTCGTAAGGGAGCACTTCCACACATCTGAGGGCGATGAAATTCACCATGTTTGTTCTCGATACGTTAAGGATGAATGCCGGAAAGGTCCCGTTTCGAAAACTGCTCCCGGAGCTGAAGGGAGGGGGGTAGAGGTAGGGGTGATCCACCCCCAAGTGTAAGGGTTGGAACGTTGTTTCGTTGGGTGAATTACATGTCCAACAGTCCAAACCATTGGAGCGACACAGTTTTGATGTCTTTTTCACGCGTGAATGGCAAAAAAATTCGAAAATGCCGTTTTTTGGGAAAACCCACCCCCAACTTCAGACCCATCTGCAGGGTGAACGAGCAATCCCACGTCAACGCCGTTCATGGTATCAGATGCGCGAATGCTTTATTAACAGGTCCCCAAAAATTCAGATTTTTTCAATCACGCTTTCGTTGTCAAATCGGAGCAGATTTGAAAGACTAGTAAGTGTGCCGGACGGAGTCGGCATGCAGAAGCTCCTGGCGAATAGGCAATCTGCCATTCTCCCGCTTTCCCTGCTTAGGCGTTTCTCACACGATCGTACCGCGCTCCTACTGCCCAAGCGGTAGATCGATTATCGACCGTGAAAGCCACGAAACGAGCCTGTTTCAAAGAGGCGTTTTTTTACACCCTACCCTTTAGGGGGGTGAATTAATCCCTTCACTTTAACCCTCGCCAATGCAACTTTGCACACACCCAGAAGACACTGAAGACTATTCCTCGCGAAGTTTCTCCGAAATTGGTTGAAAACTCTCATAGTTAAGAGCATTTGAAAAATCGTTCCGGTTTGCTTGTCCGTTAGTGTAAAATAGAATAGTAGAATAAACCATACCATTAGAAGACATCCTATTAATGTTAATAAAGTCACTCTTATGGTTACAATTATTAATCTTTTGTTAATATAAATAAATGTAAATTTATTTATATTTAAATTATCATTATTTAACCATATTTCTAATATAAAAAATAAATATTACTAAAGGGAAAGAAGAAAATAATGTGTAAAATATAAAATAATATCTCGATATTAATCGTATAATTTCTAATCCTCAATAAACAATAATTATAAATGTTAAAATACTCTTACTCCATAATAAAAATAAAAGCTTATTAAATCTAAAGATACAAAAATGATCGATAAATAATAAAACATTACATAATAAAATATGAGTGTTCTCATATAAATTTAAATTTAAAATTATAATAATATATTTAACAATCATTACACTTAAAATTAATAATCTATAAGAGTCTCATCATTAGACGTGTTACGTTCCCCTTCTAAATTTCCTTATTTGGAGTCGGATGTGCGCACCCGGTATTCTTCGCGTAGGCATAGGAATTCGAGACTAATGCGAAGCTAGGGCGTAGTCCCTCGGAAATCTCGGAATCGTGCAATATACTTCCCCGCCACGCCTTGGCTTATGATTTTTGGGTATAAAAAGGGTGACGACGAAGGCATATCGGGTCTAGTCAAAGACTAGAAAGGGTTCTGTACACTTCTGTGCGTGCTCTTACGAACTGTCTACACGAGAAAACTTAGTGAGATCGGGTTCAAGTCCCCTTCGAGCAGTCGTCCCCCGTTTGCTCGCGTTCGTGAAAACCGAGAAGGATTAGATTCTAGCTTCGCGGAATCGAAACTATATTTTAAACTCAGTTCATACTTGTAACATAGCTTACCATTAGTACAACGCGACAATTACTCTTATAACAATTGTAAGTCCCGGTGCATATCAGAATATATATATATATAATCGTTTTTAATTAGTGTTGCTCAATTATAATACCCAGTCCAGCACCCACTAAGGTGTACCTTTGCCGCTCGAGGTACATCAAAAAACTGTTACGAGGCCTAATACTAACATTTCCTGCGGCTCCCCACGTTAGCCATACGTGGGTTCGTCCCCATATCACCTTCCTGAGGCTCCCTACGTTAGCCATGCATAGGTTCGTCTCCGCGTCTATTTCCTCAAGGCACCCAGTGTTACCTAACAACACTGGTCAAGCCATTAACAAAACCATATTCCAATAGAAAAGCCTTGGCTACGCAGCTGTCCCCTCCGACTCGTAACAGACGCCTGCCCGGAGAAGGGAGAGTATTGAATATCCTAATATTGAACTTAGACAAATTTGAACATTCGTGAAATCTTAATTGGCATAAATTAATATTTTAATATTTATAAATAGTTAATGGTATAATAGTTGTTGGATCTCGTCCTCCTGGAAATCCTGTAGAATATGCGGGGAATGAGATGGAGTGGGCATCACCGGAGTGAATGAAAACAACATATTTAATAAGAATGGAAGTGAATAATATTTATTTTTATCTGATTAAGAAACTCTACTCTAAAAGGCACCGGCAGTAAAAACCCCCAGTCAAAGGTGAGGAAAAAGCCTGGTCCCTAATCAAATAAAACAAACTTGACTATATCTCGAACGAATGGATAAAAAATAATGAACAAAACGCATTTCCAACGTTGTTGCAATTGAATGATCATTCAAATATAAATCTAACAAACGCGAGAGAGCTCTCTCTTACCGTAGTCGCAGTCAAATGGCGCCCTGTCGACGTCGTAGCCGCTCGCCGTGGTCCAGGTGAAGAATGCTCTGACCCTAGAGCCTGCACGGCTAGCCAAATGGATCAGTTCAGCCGATCGCCGAACTGCGCCGTTCCCAAATTGCACGCAGCTAATCGACTCAATTCTTCAAACGATCGCCGAGCCGTGCACACCAACGACAGCAACCTTGCTTCTCTTTTGCGGAGCCACGCACGAACGCCAACACCTCGGACAACGCAAACGCCACTCGGCCGGACTCTCGTCGATTTACAAGAAAACAAGCTTGCCGGAAAAACGCTCTTTTCTACGCACCGTCAACGATTTGAATGAACGCGTGGGCCTCGTCTCCGTCCGGCCCTTTCCCTTCTCGCCGCTCGAGTCGGCGCACCGCAGCGTGGCATTTTCCTTATGCCATTTTCCGCGCGGCGTCCAAATTCAAAGCAGGCCACTCGAGCGCCATACGCAGGCGCTCGCGCCGGGAATAAATAAAAATGCAATAATTCATTCTATAAACATATATTTCCTTACAACCTACAGGGTTCACAGAACCGTAAACAATAGTTAATGGTATAATAGTTATGAATATTTAAATATTAATTTATTCCAATTAATATTTCACAAATGTTCAAATTTGACTAAGTTCAATATTAGGATATTCAATTAATTAATATAATAAATGTTCTTGTAATTAGTCAAACTAAAATTTGGTTTAATGACAAAATATACATGTTCCAATTTTATAATTCTCATATATAAGTTAACTTACTAAAATTGAAATTGAAATAAATAATTTCAATTTAAGAAATTTATAAATTTTTCTACATGGGAACATCATGAAATCATCTCGATCGGTTTCTAGTTGCCGAGTTAGATCAAAGAGTAGGAATTTCGCAATAACAATACTTACAAACATTTAAAAAGACCATAATTTATATCTACAGTACACGTCTATATGCGCAAATATACACTTCCTTACTCCTGTATAATTATGTATAACTATACTTTACAACCGCCGAATAAACAGTAAACACCGCTTGAAAAGTTATTCGACCCTTATCCGATAATTTCGGATAAAGATAAAAGTATGAAAGTTATCCCACGCGACGAGTGAAACTTCAGTTAAAGATAAAAGTGCGAAAATAACCTACGGGTGAATATCTCTGGAGAGAAACCAGGTACCTCTAGCGGTTGGTTAAAGTTAAAAATGGGAAAACTACCCAACGAGTGAAACTCTCTGCACTTAACGCAGGTATCTTTACCCGTTTGATAAAGTTAAAAGTGCGAAAAGTATCTTACGATTGAAACTTTCTGCAGATAAAGCAGGTATCTTTAGCCTTTGAATAAAAATAATTTAGGTCATCTTTATCTTTTGATTTACTTCGAATACATTTTTTTATCCGGCAGTCATCGAACAAAGATAAAGTTATGTATCTTTATTCGACGAGTAAGAGATACAAATTTTTCATCTTTATTCGATATTTAAAATTTTTATTTAGATAAAGATTTTGCCCATCTCTGGAAAAAACCAAGTATCATAAAAAAGACGTAGCAAACTAGACCCAAAGAAGGCCGACCATCATTTTCCGTATTTCTTATCGGATCTTAACGGATGTATTACCAATCGATTCCTTATGTTCTTCCGATGAAAACGGTACCAGACACGATACAATTCAGATTATTTAGAAGGAAATTATATGGAAAAAATGATTTGCACACTTTTTGCCTATCTTCGTTAAGAATAGTCCGATTTACATAGTGTTTAGTAGCGTTTTCATCAGGAAAACGTAAGGAATCCATCGGCGTTACTCCCGTAATAATACGATGCATATGAAGTGAAATCGGGTGATTACTGAAAGTCATAAACCAACAGTTGAACCATCCAAAGCGCACGTGTGCCGACTTTAACCCACGACGGACCTCAAAGGGTCCGAGCATTAAAGTGTGAAATGTTTGTCATGATAAGTTTACTTTTTGTTGTATTTTATAAAAGTTAAAGAAACAAATTGCACTACTGAATTCCTGATGTTGTACTGATGAAAACGATACCAAACACGATATAATATCGATTAATTTAAAATTTTTCTGCTGTGTAACAGCGTGATATGTAGAATTTACATTACGCGAATAATTAAATTTATTTAATTCATTTCGATTAGAAATAAATGTATTGCTTAACTAACAATTATTCATAAACAAATTTCATAATAATATTTTCTTTACATAAAGAAATAAGTGTTTTGCTTCACATTTTTCAATTTTCATATTTTATTCGACCAGTGAAAATATTTTTTTTTCCAATTCGGCCCGGGAGCAAAAATAGTTGGCCATGCCTGGTCTAAATCATGTGGAAAACCGTGTGTAGACTGACGATATAGTAACAACAGAACAGACGACGTCAACGCCACAACGGAAAGCGCGATAGCGAGGCAGCCATATTGCCATACAAATCATCAAGATTTCACAGCAACGAAGCTCATCAAGTTCTTTGAACTGAAGAAGCAATATTTTCTCATGATTCTTTTTCTAAAATATTCTTTACATCACTCCGCATGCCATTCCAACGCCCGATTTTGCAATTTCGGTCTTGAAACTTTATAAATAATAAAAGTATGGTTTTTTCTTTTCTTATAGATGAAATTTGTTTACAAACACTTTTTCCAAAATCGGGCCTGGAGTGGCATGCGCCAAGATATAAGGAATATTTTAAAACCAGAATTAATAGAAAATATTGATTCTTTGCTTCAATATCCTTGACAAGAATCATGCTAGCTTAATCGTCCTGTCCTCGTCTCTCCTGCAATTGTTGTATCGCCCTCTTTGTCCTTGTCCCGGAGTTTCCTGCTTTTTCCGTAACTGTCGTTGAAGTCAACTCGAAGTTTGACTCTGGCTCCTGCATGGTTTATTATCTTTAGTAGCTCTTGCTACAGGAACGAAGTGTTTAGGAGAAATAGATTTAATAAATACAGAATTATATAAAGATGGTTGTAGATTAAATGATTCTCATGCGGAAGTTCTAGACAGACGTGCCTTTTTAAGATATTTATATGAACAGATTAATTTATTGCTTGATGATACTAAAAGCGATGTTTTTACAAAGGACAATAAGAAAAAATTTATACTGAACAACGGAATATCATTCCATTTTTTCACAAGCCAAACACCATGTGGAGATTCTTCTATGGAGATTGTTCTATATTTCCAAACGATGAGTTCTGTGAAAATGATACACCACCGATGAAAATAAGAAAACATGATGATGCAGTAGAAGTAATCATGGAATCATATAATGATAAAATTTTTTTCCAAAAAATTATTTTATTTCACTCTTTTTAGTGGCAATATATAACCGATAGATTTCATGCAATAGCAATAGTTATGAGCAATATACAGGGTGTCTCAAAAATGTTGGATGTTCTTGAATGGGGTGTTTTGGGGGGGTGATTTGAAACAATTTTTCCTTAGCGAGAATGGTGTTGGAGGCTTCGTTAAGGAGATATTCCAGAAACAAAAACCCCCGACCAATCAGAGCGCGAGTATGCCGGTGCAGCGTCTGCGAAGCCTACGCTACCGCAGGCACTCCACCGGCATACTTGCGTTCTGATTGGTCGGAGGTTTCTGTCAATATTTCCTTAACGAAGCCTCGAACACCATTCTCGCTAAGGAAAAATTGTTTCAAATCCCCCCCCCCCCCCCCCAAAAACACCCCATTCAAGAACATCCAACATTTTTGGGACATCCTGTATTGTTGTAAATGGGATTATCAGGAATAAATGTGAAAGGATTGATTGCGTTTGGTAAATTCCTTATTGAGCTACACCAGAGCATAACAATTTTGCATCAACAACGGTTTCAAACAATGGAAGTGCCCATACATTTCTGCAAATGGGAACATCACGAATTCATCTATCATGAAATGCGGAAAAATCCATCTCGATTGGTTAATTCCGTGCCGAATTTCAGCAAAGAAAAGGAATTTTCCAATAGCAATAGTTATAAACAATTAAAAAATTCATAAATTTTTGGAAATATGATCATCGCGAAAACCTGTACGGCAGCAAAATGTAAGGGATTTCCGCGATTTCAGGCCAAACATACGTGAAATAGTACGCTCTTTGCAATAAAAAGTGATATAAAGTGATAAAAAACAAACTAAGAACAAATGTTTTGTTATGAGACCAAATGACAAATGCTTTTCTAGATGCAAGAAGTTTCAATCTGATTGGTCCATCCATCTCGGAGTAAGAAGCAAGACAAAATTTTTCTGTTTTTTAAAATCCGTTTAAAAAAATACGGCTATAAATGACAACTCACAAAATGTTTCTTTTACGCGACCAACTGGAAGAAATATTCGACAAGATGCAAGAGGTTTCACTCCAATTCCTCAAGCCATCTCGACATAATCGACAAGCATACCTAAAAATCACGGTTTTTTGGTAAAAAGACGGGTAAAAAATGACAAATCGCAAAAAGTCTTAATAGCAAGATCATCGGGGGAACATGCTCTACAAGATGCAACAGGATTCATTCCGCTTGGTCAAGCCATCCCGGCGTAATCGGTTAACAGACATAAAAAAAAAAAAAAAAAAAAAAAAATACATGTCGAATTGAGTAACCTCCTCCTTTTCGAAGGCGGTTAAAAAAGGTACAGATAATCAAAGACATTTATAGAACGGGTGCAAAATGCGTTAAAACTGAACAATACCAAGATCCTCATCTAGCTGGGGTGAATTATCATGTGATTGGACCATTGCATACTAAACCAGGAAGGGGTAATCCAACTCTTAGCTTGTCTTGTTCTGACAAAATAGCAAAGTAAATAAAACTGGATAAAGCTACAGCTCCTTCTAAATATATATGTAGAAATTATGCAGTAATTGCATTTTTAACCGACTTTGAAAAGGAGGAGGTTACTCAATTCGACATGTATATTTTTTTTTTTTTTATATGTATGTTATATAATTTTTAGGTGGAACATTCATGGATTACAAGGTTCGCTTTTATCAATACTGATACCTTCAATAAAAATGGAAACTATCACAGTTGAAGGCAAATGTCCTTTTCCCTTTGAAGCGATGGAACGTGGATTACATAAGCGATTCAATAAGGAGGAAACACCTGGATCGAAAATCATGCAGGCTAAATTTTCTTTTCAACAATAGAAAAATCACAAAAGAAAGTACCCATGTCCATTAAGTGTGGTATTATATCATATGGTGTGCTATAAGATATCGGTACATTTTTAATATTTTGATATTGTAGTATAATCAACTATAATTAGTATGAAAAACCAAAGTAATGTTATTAATTTCATTTTCAGTAATACGCAAATAGCAGTTGAAGGTAGAAAACAGGGAGCTACTAAAAAAAGAAAGGTTATAATTTACTCGTAACTAGGCACGCTCTTTTTGAAACATTCTTACACACTTATAACAGGTATATAAATGTTGATTGCAATATAAGACATCCAAAAATAAATATATTTATATATACAGGGTGTCCCAAAAGTCGGAGAGGCGCCGGAAATGGGGGGTAGCTGAGACGATTCTGAACAACAATTTCCTTTGCAAAAATGTCGAATGGAGCTTCGTTAAGGAGATATTAAGAGAAAACCCCGACCAATCAAAGCGCGCGTAGACCGTTCGAGCGGCCGTGGTAGCGAAGGCTACGCGCTGACGGCCGCACTTGTACGCGAACAAGTGACTCGACGTGCATCGAAGGACATTGCCGCTGCCGCCTAGCGCGTAAAGTCACGTCGATCGTCTTCAGAGCTGCGCTTCAGTGAGATCGGGCTTCAGATGCCTTTCGATCAACATTAATCATATAGATCCGCGAAGACGGTACAAAATCTATTACGGCATAGAAGCATTCTCGACCGCCGCATCGCCAGTGCGTTAACACCGTGCAATAATTAGGTAATTAAATTCATACACTAACCGCGACAATAGGACACTGCAAAATTGTATTATTAGAATTATTCAGTTTTGAATATATAATCATTTGTTAACCTTAAAAGGTCTGTTAAATCGTTATTAAACCTTCACCATTGGAATAAGCAATCCTAACCAGTGTAACGACCCCCAACATAATAACTTTACCGCTCGAGTTATTATTTGTTTAGAATTAATAGTTGCGAGGCTTTATCCACGACGCGTATTATATTCCAACGATACGATTCAATCCTTACCTAACCTTCCCAACGGTTACCCTTTACCGGGAGATACCGATCCTACGGTTACCCTTAATTGGGAGATACCAATTCCCAGCAGCTATCTGGTTTCGCGTCAGAGTCGTCTGCGATTTCTACTCCATCCTCAATCTTTGGATCCATTGAAATAAACAGGACTAATCGTATCTTCTTCGATTCTTGAATTCAACCCACTCACAGGGCTCACACGCGCGTTGCTATCGCCCTGGCTCGTAACAATATATACATAAAGCATATTATTGTTTTTTTTTTATGCAGTACACAGATTTAGAGAATTTCGTATATTGAATATATATTTCTATTAAAATGATCTGTTACAACAATTCATGAAACTGAAGTGCGGGGTTTCTACAGATATACAAATACAAAGAGTGCAGCTCAGTGCAGATGGTGCAGGTACGATGTTGACGCATGCGCAGAGAGGACGAATATCACTCTATACCTTTCTCTCTCGCACAGACTTTGGACACACTTTGGGTCTATACAGAACAAAGCAAATCCTCCTCCATTTCCATATACTCAAAGACGCCACCGCGTATACTTGGCGCTGGAGCTACCGCGTATTTTTACTCGTAAACCGGCTCTTCCAACTTAACCTGAAACTCCTTTCATTAATATCTCATCACGCCTGCAATATTTTCTAAATTTAAAGACATTTTCCTAATGTAAATCGCATATAAGCTTTCGAATAAAACCAAAATCAGTAAAACCAATCCACGTACAATAGAGATATCGTAATATCATGTCATGAATCTGTCAGAAACGGTATTTTTTCGTATGATTTTCCTTTCGTCAACCCTTAGCCAATAGGAGCTAAGCTAAAGCCGAGTGTTGTTCGTCGATTATCGGAATCATTCGGTTCGGCATGGCTCCTACAGACCGTGATCGAAATAGATCCTGCCTAGTGTCAAAAGTTTTTACTCTGTTGCATTATTAATTATATTTATATCAGCAAAATGTTTTCAATTTAGACTTGTTATGTAGGGTTTAATAACAAATAGTAGCCAGTGTTGTAAAATGTTGATTAATCTTGATTACAAGGTAAGTTGTCAAAATCTGAACTGTCAGACACCTTTTTTCACACAGAAAACTATTTTTAATAGAGATCCATACCACCAAAGTGATTTTAATTTAGACTTTTTATGTAGAGCTTATAGAAACGAAGGGAACTCACAGGCTTGGAGGTTGTCCAGAGAAAGTTGTAAATGGTGAAACATCTTAATTAATTTTATAATCTAATACAATATATTGTGCGTAAGTAATAGTTATGTAGAGCTTTAATCTAATACAATATATTGTGCGTAAGTAATAGTGGACCTCTTCGTTCATTTTCTCACTTCATCATTAACATTTAAATTCCTTGTAACAAGAAAAAAAAATTGCTGGTATTTACATTACTTCATAAATTGAACGACTAAATGTTTATAATTAATAAATTATATCGCATGAAATATATATATTCGCTTTTGCTACCCCATCTCCCTTTCTTTTTCTCTATTCAATTAAAAAAATAATAATTTTGATTATTTATCTAAAGCTTATAAAAATCGTGTGGTACACTTTGCACTGCCTAAGATGTTGAAAAAACACAATTTCACAGGATGGATCAACCTGAAAGGTCCTTGCAATAATTGTGAACACATAACAACAACACATAATGAAGAAAGTCAATATAACTGTTTCCAAACACATAATGAAGAAAGTCAATATAACTGCTTCCAAACAAGTTTTTATTGCAAAATTACTTTTGTTCGATCATATTAATAGTGGTACAACGAAAGTGGAGAATTTCTGCATCAAAGCAATATCTATTACTAAAATACAGACTAAAATGGGAGATCACTATTATAAACTTGAGGCAGCGATTCCCCACCACGGTAAAAGTATTTCTGATGGTCATTACACAAGTATGGGAAGAGGTAAAGGCACAACATGGGCAGCCGTTGATGATTTACGAGTAGAAAAACAAGTTTGGCAACGAAATGCTAAAGATGCATACATATTTTTCTTTGGTCCATGTTAATTGTAGTTGTTATTCTAGTTCAATGTTCAATATGTTCAGCGCCATAAGCTGCTTCGCGCACCGTGAACTCTACACAAAGTATTATACATATACAGGGTGTCCGAAAAATGTTGGAGGTCCTTGAAAAGGGTGGTTCGAGGGATGATTTGAAACAACTTTTTCCTTAGCGAAAATGTTGTTCGAGGGTTCGTTAAGCAGATATTAACAAAAAACCCCGACTAATCAGAGCGTGCGTATACCGTTGGAGCGGTCGCGGTAGCGAAGGCTACGCGCTAAGCGGCCGCGCTCGTACGCGAACAAGTGACACGATGTACATCGAAGGACGTTTGCGTAAAAATCACCCCCCGAACCACCCCTTTCAAGGACCTCCAACATTTTTGGAATACGCTGTATATACGGAAGTATTGACGTGTTCAAATTAACGAAACGAGCCTTTCCTTCGCACTTTTATGACAGAGCGTTTTTGACATTCCTAATGAAATTCGCCCCTTTCACGCACTATTGTAAGTAAATAGCCTACTATTTGTTGAAATCAACTGAAGAGATTATTTTATTTTATTTCAATTTTATTATTTCAGGAAGGATCTCTTATTCGGTACGATATTTTCAATAAATAAGTTATAAATGTTATAAAAAAATAATTTTTATTACTTATTTTGTATGCACAAAGTCTCAGATATGTCCCCTAATTGTAACAAATAAGAAAAAGTTGGTATAAATACATATGTATATGACTTCATTCAGAAAATATTTGTTCCGCTTTTTAGGGTCAAACACTCCACTGTGCATTCGCACGACCATCGTTTGATCATGGATCGACACCACTCGGAAAGCGTTCGTGCGCGCACAGGTTCTGCGCACACGCATAAACGGTACGTACTGATAGCGTTCATGCGCCGAGACCGTTCGTGCGTGGAAAAATGCTCTAGTCAGTACGAGGCTTCAGAAAGCATCAAGCATCAGCGTCGTGTGGTAGTGAAAAGTGAGTGAATCGAGCTGAAGAAAAGAAATCGTTGTATCGTATCGACGCTTCTGAAAAACAGTCGCACGTACAATTTACGGTGCCGGTAACAACTTTTCCGCAGTAACAAATATTAAGTCATTACTACAAATCTTTAGTGTAATCCAAATCCAGCACGAAAGATGGAGTGGAGTAATGAGATGGCACTCCAACTTATCGACGCATACAAAAAATACCCTCTGTTGTGGAATACAAAAGATCCGTACCACTTTTCTCGCAGCAAGAAGATGGACGCATGGGAATCGATAGGAGCAAGTTTCGGAATGCCGGCCGTCCATGTGAAACAAAAAATAAGCAGCCTGTTGGGATCCTTTCGTCGGGAGAAAGCAAAGGGTGCAAGTAGTATTCGTACGGGAAAAGGTATTTATATATTTCTATGTTCGATTATTAAATGTACATATTGTATACAATTGCAATTAATAGGAAATAATTTTTTATTGACAGCTCGCAAAGCCGTATACAACTCAAAGTGGTTCGCTTTCGAACGAATGAGCTTCCTGTTGGACAAGGACAAACCGCGGACAACAGTAGACACGAATAAGGTACGTAAAAAATCGTAACAGTTAATGAATTTTATGCATATTTATCTTGCCATTCTAAACGTCCATTAGTAATAAAGTACTTTAAAGTACTTTGTCGCGAATTTCTTGACCACGTAGTGGTAATCTCCGAGGAACACTTCTTATTGAAATTAGTGAAATTGGTTCTTTTCCTTGTCTTCAATTACCTTCGACGAATACTCCAATTTGTTCAGAGTCAAAAGTCCCTGCGGGTGTATACATATAATGAACATGAAATATTATTTCTCCTTAAAAAATTGTGAAAGTAAATACTGCCGAAGAAATCCGAAACACGTTTTCAATTACTCGTCGAGTTCTACTGACAAAAGAACACCGGTAACTGTTACACCCCGATTTTGATGAAACTTTATACACTTGTTCGTAGGACCTTCCTATGAATTACACCAGAGGTCGGAATTTTTTCCACGCGGCGGCCGTTTTTCGAGAGCTACGCCTACCAGCTTCCCCTTACCGCGCAAAGGGCCTAAAGCTGACCGAGGCGCAGGACCGTCGCATATCCCGAATAGTGCGGCGGGCCCATTTACTAGACGGGAAGTAATGAAGGAGCGGGCCCGCCGCACAATTCGGGACATGCGACGGTCCTGCGCCTCGGTCAGCTTGCCGGTCCTCCGTGCGGTAAGGGAAAGCTGGTAGGCGTGACTTGAAAATCGGCCACCGCATGGAAAAAATTCCGACCTCTAAATTACACCATCTTCAGTTCGTGCCACTTTTGCGTTTCAAGAAAGAAATTATATCTTTTGTCCGAACCGCCCCGTTTATTGCACCAGTATTAAAAAATTTGTGTTCTTTTATACTGAATCCAACTGTGCACAGAGTGTCCCAAAAATGTTGTAAAACCTTGAAAAGAATGGTTCGGGAGGTGATTTGAAACAACTTTTTCCTTAGCGAAAATGTTGTCCGAGGCTTCGTTGAGAAGATATTAACGGAAAACACTGACCAATCAGAGTGCGAGGATGCCGTTGGAGCGGCCGCGTCAAGGTCCTTCGATGCACGTCGAGTCACTTGTTCGCGTACGAGCGCGGCCGCTCAGCGCGTAGCCTTCGCTACCGCGACCGCTCCAACGGTATACGCGCGCTCTGATTGGTCAGTGTTTTCCGTTAATATCTCCTCAACGAAGCCTCGGACAACATTTTCGCTAAGGAAAAAGTTGTTTCAAATCACCTCCCGAACCACCCATTTCAAGGTGTTACAACATTTTTGGGACATCCTGTATATTACTTTATAACTACCATAATGGAAAATGATGTAATATTGTAAAATTGTCGCTCTAGTAGTCGATATTGAAACGAAATAAGTAACGTTTGTGATGAAATTCGTTAGTTTCGATACTTTAACGGATATTTACACACACTATATGCAGTGCCGGTTTTAACAATATTAGCACCCTGAGCAAGATTATTGTGGCGCCCATTCGGGGGTTAACATTTTTAAGAAAAAAAAGACAAGGTAATAATATCAAACGATGAATCCGTAGTTAGATTGTAAACATTGTTACACTATATAGCATGGAACAGACAATGAGAAAATATCGGTATACAATGTAGTGTTTGGAATTAGTTACACATTTCAGGCCGATTCTTGAGGCAACGCTTGCTGTATCTCCACTACCGGTCTAGCCGATCGTGCGCGCGACGCTGTATCTCAGGGGCGTTCTACGATAGATATGTCTCGTTCCATCCGCGCGATTAAAAATTTCCTTGCGCTGTCAGTATTTTTTATCGTCACAGATAATTAAAGTTACTAATATTATGTTTAGGTCTATAAACATCTTTTATATATACATATAGTAACAATAGTGTATCATATAATAATTGCAATTTTATCAATAGCTTTCCATATCACCCAAGAGGTATTATTGTTATACCATCCCTTGTATAATCAGCATCATCTAAGGCAAATACGACAATGTTGAATTGTGATTTATAATTGTAAAAATCGCTACCACTGTTGGCAGGTGCTTGCAATACCACATCCTTTCTATCTGTAGTGGCTAGCTGTAGACGTTTGAAAAGACATCGAACGTGCAAACGGCTAGCATGGTTTATGACACGAACCATAGCGAAACTGTTTTTGAGAAAGCCGTTATACCAAATAGAGTTTTTACAAAGCATGTTCGTAGCTAGAGTTTGCCAACGGCCTCGACGGTTAATCGCTAGTGTCATAAACTGACTTTCTTCAAGGGTCTTCGACGAGAAGTCAGGCGACCATTGGCTGGTCGTGTTACGGACCTAGGACCCTGGGAATATCCGCTGCGTTGCCACTTTCTCCAGCAAGCGCTACCCCCGTCAAATCGCAGCCCCGCTTCACGACAGCGTGCCACGGGCACACGAAGGGGGACGTCGGTAATTGGTCAACCCCACTTTTTAGGGGGTTGGTCAAAGACAACAACGAAGTAACTTTCGACACAGTATAGGTACAGTTCGTTGCTGGTTAGTTGGCTCGCGGAAGGTCGGCTCGTACGAACGACGCGAAAGTAATGGGCCTTACGCCTATCCAGCGTGAAAAATGGGGGAACCTGGGGAGATTTAGGAGGACCGAGCGTCCCTCTCTCTAGAGGACCGAGCGATCCTCTGCTTCGACCATATACAGGGTGTCCCAAAAATGTTGTAACGCCTTGAAAGGGGTGGTTCGGGAAGTGATTTGAAACAACTTTTTCCTTAGCGAAAATGTTGTCCGACGCTTCGTTGAAGAGATATTAACGGAAAACACTGACCAATCAGAGGGCGAATATGCCGATGGAGCGCTCGCGGTAGCGTATGAGCGCGGCCGCTTAGCGCGTAGTCTTCGCTACCACGGCCGCTCCACCAGCATCCTCACGCTCTGATTGGTCGGAGTTTATCGTTAATATCTCCTCAACGAAGCCTCCTACAACATTTTTGCTAAAGAAAAAGTTGTTTCAAGTCACTTCCCGAACTACCTCTTCCAAGGTGTTACAACATTTTTGGGACACCCTGTATACATGGACTGCTCAAACATACTCTTTATACACTGAGCAGAACGTAACCAAAATCTTGAGAGTGGTTGAGAGAGATTGAGACGTGACGCTAATGCAGATGTGCCGAATTCGAGAACTGTAGCAAAAATTCCATCTCGATGAGAGGCTAACTGCAGCTTCGACCAATGGTCGAAGAGTAGTTCGGCAACCGTCCAAAATTGCAATTCGCGCCTTTCCCCACTGCTATCGCCCATTGACTGTAGTGCTTGCGCACAACTGCTTTCTCGTAACTTTGGCATGGAAGATGTTGGTTACTGACTACACTATAGCTTGAGCAGTCCATGCATGTATGGTCATAGATCCTCTGTCCCCACCATACGTCTCTAGTTTGGGAGCCGCGAGCCAACTAACCAGCAATGAACTGTACAACCCGTAGCGTCACTCCGTGTCGGCACCTTTGATGTTGATGTCCGAGAACCGCCATGTTCCTGGTATGCACCGCGCGCATATTTAAACTGAGAGAAAAAGAAAGGCAATTGCAAACGGTATGTATAAAGTACTGAACATAAGTGCTGATTTCAAAGGTTAGCGAAATACTCAAAGGTATTCAATAAATAATATCACGCAGAGGAATTTCAACGAAATAGAATGAAACACAACACACCACACGTAACCACGCTGCCACAGTATGTTACTGTGATAAATTGAATCGACGTGTGACGCTGCGCGTGGTGTCGTATGGGTGTATGGCGGTATGGGAAGCACGTGGTGATTGATGGCCGCCTTCGGCTTCCTTCCCTGGATCTCCTTTAGATCCTTTAAGTAATTCGTCTCCGCCTAGTCCGCATACGTGTAGGCCGTGGTAGGTTAATAATCTGACTCCAGGAATGCGTTTTTAGGAAACACTTTATTTTTTATCACAATCTTGGTAGACAGAATGTCGAACGATTGTCCCCTCTGTTGCGTAGTAGGAACGCGTATTGCCGAGTACACCTCGTAGCGGTGAGGGTCCAGCGCGCGCTTGCGCATCACTCTTTATGCGCAAGAAGGTGAAGGCCAGGCCGGCGTCTACAGTCGGTTACTATTAGTACCATCTAGTGTACAATATAGGAAACAGCATCGTCGCCATGTTCTTGGTATGCAGATTTGCATGGAATGTGGAAAATTCCATGTTTTCAAATTTTTGCGATGTTTCCGGTCGATCATTTGACGTTGATGGCATCTGAAAAAATAGAAATAAAAATAAATGGTTATTAAAAGTAATGTAACAAATTGCAGGTGAAGGAAAACTACGACGAAAAAAGCAGCACACAACAGCCGTTACCAGACGTGGATCCGCTCACCAATTCAGCCAGCATTATGGAATCGGATAGCTCCTCCAACCAATCTCCAACGACTCCAGTTCCTCCGAAGCGTCGTTGGCGAGTTTCCGAGAGGAAGGATGATGGCAGATTGGAGAAGGCATTTCAAATTTTAAACACATCACTCCCGTGGGAGCAGCCGGACGAATGCGACACATACGGTAAACATGTGGCAAACAAATTGCGGAGTTACAGCAATCGCACACGTGTTCGAGTGGAGCACGCGATTAATAACATTTTGTTCGAGGCGGATATGGGAAACTATGAGGCTGCGAATAAATCACGAATTAGCAGCTAACCACGCATCTTTCTTTTGTGCGGACGCGTGGTTAGTTGAAAATTTATACTTTTATTATAAATATTGTTATTTTACTGATTGTAAATATTGTATATACAGTTTTTTATTTTATATTCAATAAACGAAGCCCCCGTTTGTATAGAATCAATTAATAAATGAATATTTTTAAATATGCATACTTTGTATGTTCTTTCAAAACTTCAATAACATAATACAAGGAATAAGAAAGGATATTTCGAAATTCAACCCCTAAAGGGGTAAAAAGGGGTTGCAATGTTTATATAAGGAATATTTTAGTTGTGGTCGGATTTGCATGAAACACATTTTTAGCTGCATATAAAAAATGAGTATCCATTGCTTTCAAAGCGTGCTATTGCAATTCTTTTACCATTTGCCACGACCTAGTTATGCGAATTGGAGTTTTCAACTCTCACTAATAGAGAACGCTTGAGGACGATCGACGAAGAGATAAGAGCAGCCTTATCAACGATTGCTCCAAATTATGATCGCCTATGCTCAGTTAAGTAGACTCACATTTCTCATTAAACATCTTTTCATATTATATTGATTTTAATAATAAAAAACATTAAATAAACTGTAGGGGAGGAACTCTTTACAATTTGGAAGAGGATAGGTGTAAAAATAAAAACCAGTGGATTCTTTCTTACACGGCCGATGTCTGTATTCCAATCATAACTGTCCCTCGTCTCTCCGCGGCCGTACGCACGATCCTTTGATCATGGACCGCAGTCGAAAAACATTCGTTAGCGCACAGGCTGTCAGCGATAGCCAGAAGTGGGGGTTGAATCCGTGCGTCGAACCGTTCTTGTGTCGAACAATGCTTTTAAACAATGAAAGTGTCCATAAATTTTTGCAAATGGGAACATCACAAATTCATCTATTATGAAATGCGGAAGGCACCATCGCAATCGGTTAATTCCTTGCCGAGTTACATTAAACAGCAGGAATTTTTCAGTAACAATTGTTATAAACATATAAAATAAGTCCATAAATCTATGCAAATTCAAACAGCATAAAATCAGCAGTCATTAAAGGTGGAAAGTTACATATCGATCAGTAAATCCCTCGTCAAGTTACATCATATAATAGGAATTTTGCGATAACAATAGTTATAAACAATAAAGAAATTCATAAATTTTTGCAACTGTGATCATTGCGAAAACCTCTCCGGCAGCAAAATGTAAGGGGTTTCATCGATTTCATCGGTTTCAAGCCAAACATACGTGAAATAGTATACTTTTTACAATAAAAAGTGATATAAAGTGGTAAAAAATAAAACAACGACAAATGTTTTGTTATGGGACCAAATGGCAAATGCTCTTCCAGATGCAAGAAGTTTCAATCCGATTGGTCAAGCAATCCCGGCGTAATCGGTGAACATACCTTAAAAAAAAATATATATATATATACTGTCGTCCAAAAATTGTGGATTTTAGAGGGGGTGGAAAGTTGTGGGGGGTGGGTTTGTCCGAGAGGGATTTCAAGGGGTGTATTTTGTAGAGGGCATTAAGGAGAGTCGCCCCAAAGGTTTTTTTGAATTTTTCAACCCCTTCCGTCATCCCTGGTCTGTTTCAAAGAGGCGTTTTTTTACACCCTCCCCTTTAGGGGGGTGAATTAACCCCTTCACATCAACCCTCACCAATGCAACTTTGCACACACCCAGAAGACACTCGAAGACTATTCCTCACGAAGTTTCACTGAAACCGGTTGAAAACTCTCATAGTTATGAGCATTTGAAAAATCGTTCCGGTGTGCTTGTCCGCTAATGTATTATAACTTATATACACTGAATAACCAGATAATATATAAATTTACAGAAAGTCGGATGAGCGAAAGAAATAACAATGAATGAACGATTTTAAAGTAAATTTTGAAAGGTGTCATTTGACACCGCTTGATACGTTCAGTGTAAATATTCGTATGTAGTACGAAAAGAATATAGTATTTTAAAATTGCTATGTGAACATGGCACCCGATTTTCAGAAAATTACCCTCTTTTTATACAAAATAATATTACATAATATTTCGTTTGTAGTTAATTGTAGTAACAACAGTTTCGTTTGTAGTTTTTTCAATTATTAAATAAAAAAAATTGAGAAAATGACGCGCACCCGACTTCGAGGTATCTCAAATCTGTTTTTTTCACGTGATTCAGAATCGTTTGTAGTTGTTTATAGTGATTTCCCTAAAGAGGGATTTAGAAGCATTGAAAATTCACAAAGTTAATTCTTGGACGGTTAAGCGAATGTTATAACTTCTAAAGCATTCTAGTAGAAACGAAAGGAAAATCAACTACAAACGATTCTGAATCACATCGAAAAAACAGATTTGAGATATCTCCAAGTCGGGTGCGGGTCATTTTCTCAATTCTTTTTATTTAATAATTGAAAAAAACTAAAAAAGAAATTGTTACTGCAATTAACTACAAACGAAATACTATCATTTTATATAAGAAGAAGTTAATTTTTTGAAAGTCGCCAGGTTTACAAAGCTTTTTAAAATGTACTTAAATGAAACTTTTAACTTCACTGTGATTTAACACTGTGACTAAAAATACTATCTCGACAGATAAATTAATGTGGTGAAACCGAGTTCCAATGCTTACTTTTCCTTTTTGGAGGAATAGGAAATCTCTTTCTGGTGTGGGTTAGGTACGGAAAAGGGACTCTTAATTTCAAGTGGGGTCCCCTTCAAATATCTGGCGCACGGAAATCCTTCTGATGTGGACCGACAGTAGATCGGATAGCGTTCGTACGCGGCCAGGGTTCGCTCGCACGCATAAACGATACTTACTGACTGCAGCAGCCGTGCGTCGAGACCTTCGTACGTCGAAAGATGCTCTCGTGAGTACGTACCTTTACACCCTTAGGTTATATATACAGGATGTTCAAAAAAAAGTATTCAATATTTATATGGTGTATAGGGCACACTGTACTAAGTAAAAAAACTTTAGTAAACATAGGTCCAAAGGTTAACCATTTCTGGGATATAAATATTTTTGTTTGCTAATATCATGATTGACTTACTATTAGGTTTTCGATATTTATAAAAGATTTTCCATGTGTCCACCTCTCATTTCTGTATACAAAATTGAAAAAATGAAATTGACGAAATTGTCGGCACTTGAATGGGAACATTCAGTACGCAATTTATAAACACTGACATAAACATCGCATGCGATGGAAGCAAGTAAGTCAATCATGATACTAGCAAATAAAAATGTTTATATCTCAGGAACGGTTGACCTTTGGACCTATGTGTTGTAAATATAAATTAATCGGGGTGCCGTATAGGAAAACACCTTTTAAACTACGTACTTTTACAACTGACTTTATTTCTCTCTAGTTATGTATTCTCCGCAATCTTCTACAATCTTCCGAAATCTTCTGCCGTTGCTCGGCATTTCGCCTGTTTATAAACACTTTCTCCCTCTCTCTCATTCGCACTCGTCTCATTCGCTCAACTTCACATTCATACATTGCGCGACTAATTTAAACAGTCTACATATGTTTACTAAAGCTTTTTTACTCGGTACAGTGTGCCCTATACACCATATAAATATTGAATGGTGTTTTTTGAACACCCTGTATACATATACATATACACGTTATACGCTTACAAAACATTGGTTTTTTATTTGGTGTACCTCTAAAATTTCTTGATTTGGTAGGTGTACCTTGAACACAAAAAGTTTGCGGAACACTGGTCTATGCAAACAGCCTGAGCCCGAGCACAATTTTGTGCCTACGAATGGAACGTTCGCACGACCATCCTCTGATGGACCGACATCGACAGCACCAGTCGGAAGCGTTCGTGCGTGCTCAGGGCCTACGCGCATAAACGTACCGACTAGAGCAGTTTTTCTCAATCGCCGGGCCGCGGGACGAGACTTGATATTGTTTTCTTCGACATTGAAAGAACAATTCAACTGTTCTAGCTCGCCGAGATGCATGATTTTCGTCGTCCGGTAACATCAACGCATCGCTTTATTGTTCTCTCTCTCTCTCTCTCTCTCTCTCTCTCTCTCTCTCTCTCTCTCTGTCACACGACCAAACGCCTCGCATGTAATAATCATTAATCACAAGTTTCAGGCAATTTACTTCTCTGAGTAAGTAGTAAAAATACTGTTTCTTTCCGAGTTCGCACCTCAGTGTGTAAGTGCTTGCTTCGAAATCTGAATATTGCGATTGGCACAGATTTATTTTATAATATGAGTAAGAGACGAAATAACACGTAAGGAGCTTGTGTACTTCTATTTTAACTAATTGTAATAGATTCATATGTTGTATAAAGGTTAATATTTTTATAATATATATATATATATTTTTTTGCATTTTGAATTGTTTTTAAAGTGTATTAAAAATAAGAAGGTTAATTAAAATGTATGTTTTCCAGGAGGACAATATAACTCTAAAATGAATTATAGTAATAAACAGATTTCTGAAAAATATCAAATGTATCTGTACCAACGGAATTTCTTTATATGGTACAAATGAAACAGACCAGACAAATTTAATGCTATGAATGATATTATGTGGAAGCATGTATTTATATTAAATCTTGATTAATATTACGTTCAAAATTTGGCGGCCGCGTCAGTTTCGATGCACGTCGAGTCACTTGTTCGTGTACGAGCGCGGCCGCTTAGCGCAAAGCCTTCGCTACCGCGACCGCTCCACCGGCATACTCGCGCTCTGATTGGTCAGTGTTTTCCGTTAATGTCTCCTCAACGAAGCCTCGGACAACATTTTTGCTAAGGAAAAAGTTGGTTCAAATCACCTGCCGATCCACTTCTTTCAAGGTGTTACAACATTATTGGGACACCTTGTATATTGTATACAGGGTGTCCCAATAATGTTGGAGCGGCCGCGGTAGCGAAGCCTACGCTCACAGCCGACTCTAGTACTAGCCGTGCTGAGGCAAAAATGGCAACAGTGCGAGAGTCCGGTTTCGATATACCTAACCCAACCTACCCTATC